TGGGTTTTTGTCTCCACATTGTTCCCCAGTATTTTCCCATATTTCCTAAGGATTCGACGGTTAATTGTGTCTGTGTGCTTTTTCCCTCCTGAATGTTCTCGAATCGAGTTCCTCGTCGAATCTCAAAACGCACCAACTTCGCACATCTACGCGCATTCTACGCAAGCTTCGCAGCTGCGACCAACAAATCAATGTTGGCGTAAATCAATTATGTTCGGGTGTTACTAGAAGTGCCCCTGACCCAAGGTGCCCTCAGCTTTTCGCTCCATTTTGGAGCCCCTGGGGCTCTCTGGACCTCGTGAGGGGTGCCCTGGAGGCCGTCTGGGCCACCCCGAGAATCCTAGGGGTACCTTGTGCCGGGGGCACTTCTAGCAACACATGATCTGTAGTCGATATCCCCTGCTCGAGCACCGGATTCCCTCGCCGAGTTCGCCGGCCAATGGGGCGGCCAGACGACGCGGTGCGCGGAGGAGCCCCCCCCCGGTGCGGCAGGTTCGGCGGGCGGCGGCGCAGGGGAGCTGCGGCGGCGGCATCCGGGAGCGCGCGCGCAGGGTGGGCATGCCCGTCCGCGCGAACGGCGCTCGTCGACAATGCCACACGGGCCGCACGTGGGCCACGTCGCCGAGGAGAGTGGTGCTGGCCAGATGACGAAGTGGACGTTGGACATTCCGTGAGAGTGGAAGCGGCCGGGACCAGAAAGAGACCCGCGGGAGCATCAGACGAGCCCGAAACAGTGCAGGTGAGGCCGCAAGGGCTGGAAAAGCACAGGGGGGCTGGCCAGGGCCGGAGAGAGCGGAAGGGCCGTCCCCGGACACGTTTCCAAGCTTGCCTGTGCCCTGACATCCGCCGGTCTGATTTTTCAACCCGCGGCCCCAGAGATCCCGACTCCTTCCCTGAGGCATATGTTTCGTCCCAGACCCATGTTTGATGGCTCCAGGACACGGCCCACGAGGGCCGACATTGATGAAGAAAAAGCAAATTGAAAACATCTGATCGCTGGAGATTTGTGTCCACATCAAGCCCCTCCGAGCGGTGCTGCTTCGGTGAGCTGTAAAGTATGACCCCCGACGTCATGAGTTCTTCACAGCGTTGACCCCTGGAGACCTGGCCCACTCTTGGATCGATCATTCATCCTGAGACGTTGTTCGACGGTCCCAGGGCCCATGTTTTCACGATGCGAGGGGGTCCAAAAAGGCTAAGTCCAGACAGAGTAAGCCCATACAGAGACCGAGCACTCCTCATGGATTTAGCATCCTACCAAGAGTGGCTAAGTCCAGACGGAGTAAGTCCGTGCGGAGTCCGAGCACTCCGTTTGGACCTAGCACCCTACCAGGAGAGGCGAAATCCAGACAGAGAAAGTCAATACGGAGACCGAGCACCCCGTATGGACTTAGCACCCTACCAGGATAGGCTAAGTCCTGACGGAGTAAGTCCATACGGAGACCGAGATACTCCGTACGGACTTATTCCGTACAGCAGAAAAGATTAAGAAAAAACATGATTCAAAAAACCTGGGCAGGCTTCCTGAAAGCTTCTTGACGCAATCCTGGGCCAGTTTGCTGGATGATGCTGCAGGGGCGAACGTGCTGAAGAAACTGGGCCAGCTTTCTGGCAAGCTGATACATTAAGAAGCGCGGGAGAGATTTCCTGATCATATGCACGACTGTATTTCTGGTGCCCCCGTGGTACTTAAGGACCACACTCCAGGAACAATTTCGAGCACCCAGAGAAGTATCGAAACAGTGTCTGCCCGACACGCTGGCGAGGTGTCCAACGAGTAGCGCCTCCCAGGGCCCGACAAGTGAGTACCCTCCAGCTCCGCTGCTTTCTTGGTGCTCGAAAGTATTTCTTCCTGGCGGTCAAGGCTCAGGCTGGAACGTCTCAAGACTGCAGGTCTGAACTTTTCACCTCTCCTGAGGGGGTCTGCGTGGCCGCCCACGGTGTCCTCTGGCAGCGGCAGCCGCCGCAGCGCACGGCTCAGCAGCACCGAGCCCAGCGCCTCCACCGGCGACACGTAGCGCGGCAGCGACGTGGCCACCACCGGCACGGGCAGCTTCAGACGCAGGCCGGGGAAGCTGCCCTGCCCAGCTGCCAGCGGGTGTGGGGGGGGGGGCAAGGTGCGAGCCCAGACGTCCGAGGCATCGAAGAATAATCGGAGCGGCCGGTTTGGGGGCCTCTCTCGGCCTTCGGGCGCCGATTCCAGGCGCTGGGAGCGTCAAGAACCATCTGGGATGGAAAACCGGTGCCTGGGAAAAGGTCGAGACCTCCCTGCGGGCTCACGTATCGAAAAAATTGGAGCGCCAGGTGTCTGGGAGGGCCCAGTCCTCGGGGCGTGCATTTCGTTGTTTCCTATCAGTCTCGTCGTTCTTCCCGCGTTTCGCCCTCCGTGGGCCGTTTTCGGACGTCGAGGCGCTCAACGGGGCGAAAGGCTGTCTCGCAGGGAAGGGGGTCGGGGCCTCTGGGCCCTGGGGATTGAAAACGAAGCACATCGTCGGGACCT